TTTCCCCCGGCACTGGACCTGCAGCCCGGTGGGATACCAGAAACACCCGGTGCTGCCCAGAAAGGACCCCGGTGTTTTGCCCGCCGGGCGCACCTTTCAAGCCCTTCCCGGCTTCCAACGTGCCCTTCTGCTGGAGTCTCCTCAGGCTTGGAGCAAGAAAGGAACCGCGGCTGGGAATAGAGAATTAATAAAAACCCCACAACCCCACAACCAAATAGTTCATTCGTGCCTTCTCTGTTTCATCTGCCCGACTCTGATGTCGGCAACCATTTCAGTGCCATTCTGCCCCGTTTTGTCCAAAATACACCTGTTTATGGCAGAAGGAACGACAGATACTGAAGTGCCCATATTGGGTTTTATCGACAATACTTCTCTTCCAGTATGACATAATTTAATTGAAGGGAATATTTTCGTCTTCAATCAATAAAACAAGTGTTATCTCGCTATCCCCGTCTGACATATGTATAGAAACCATTTGGATGGAATTCAGCCGGTTATTCTCACCATCATCATCATTAATTTTTGGACATAATAACCGGCCCGTAGTTTTAGAATAAAAAATAACTCCTCGAACAGAAACGGCACGATTTGGTTTCTTTATACGACTTTTCTCCCTCTACAAAACTGAGCTGTGGATAAAGTCATCTTCGATCCAAAAACTGTGGAAATCGGCTATCCGTCTTCGTTTCAGCTGGACTGGGTCAAACTCTGCCAACACCAGTTCGCAGTTTTCCAGCGCCAGCATTTTTACAATTCATTTTCCCCCTTCTTCTGTCCCCATGGCACATCTTTAAAAGCCATCGCACATTTAAAGTGTATATTCGAGGCGGAACAAACGCTAGAGATAAAATGTCCAGGGTGGCTGCTCGTTCTGCTCCACGTTCAGCACAGCTGTCCCAGGCACAGCCCGCGGGTCACAGAGGGGAGCGGGACACACGTCGCTGTGTCTCCCGCTGTGTATGCACCGCACACCCACACTTACGGAAGTATAAATACGACCATTTAAAAATCTTAAGTAATTATGAATAAGACGATTCTGGGATGTAAATAATCGTTGAAAGGCTTAAGCTTCTGTCTCTTGTTAATCGAGATCAGCGTTTCTCGAAAGGACGTTGACTGCCACGGCGTCTGTGCTGAACTTGAAGGTGAAAGCGGTTAGAGCAAGCAAACCTCGAGAAGATTTTTACCGCATATCGGGCGGCATACGACGTTTTTGCACCAGTTCTGCAATTCCCATTCCGTCTGAAGGAATATTTCGTTGTGTCGCGGAGACAGCTGCGCCCATGTGCTGGGACTGGTTAACTGGAGGAGGTGTTCCCAGGGTGTTTGGGAGAGCTCTTAGCCAAGAGATCTCCTTCAGTCAGTAGGCAATTAACCTGAGACGAACATTTGCAGACTCAGAAGACTTCGGAGCCTGGTTCTTGCTCATTTCGGCTGCATTTGTGTTAAAGTCTCTGCAGTGCCCGTTTCTCTTTTCGGTGTTCGTTTCCGAACCCCAGCCCGGCATCCGCAGCGCACGTACTGCACCGTGGCACTAAGCCCTTGGGAGAAAAAGGACAGACGGCCAAGGAGGCAAAGAGGAAAAGCGGCACGACTGTCTCCTGCACGACTGGGGCTGCGCGGGGCGAAGGGGTCCTGCCCTCCGGAGCGGGAAGGGTCGAGCATCCCGGTGCCGAGGGGCAGGAGCCGCTCGGCTCGGGGGGAACGCGCGGGAGAGGCAACTAACCTGCCGGGGAACGTCTCTGCGGACTGGCAACTTCGGGGGAAGGAGCGAGGGAGAGGGGAGAGAGGAGCCGACAGCTCTTCCTGCAGGAGCGGCGAGGTGTGGGGAGCCAGGAGCCGCCGGCAGACGCCCCCCGCTCGCCCCCCTACACCGGCTATTCCAGACCAGTCCTTCCCCTTCCCTGCTCTCCTGCGAAACCCAACCTCGCCAGGAAGCTGCGAGTGTGCATGGCTATTTCTCACTCACGCAGGCTACGACTACATATATTTTTTTTTTTTTGAAAGTTCCGCCTGAAACCGAAGCTGAATTTTCAACACCGGGGGGACAACAAGAGCCAAACCCCCGCAGAGGTTGGACGGACGGCGGAATCCTTCGGGAGAACTGGGGCAACTGCCCACAATAAAGTAGTTAACCGTGATCCGAGCTCGGAGCTGCCAGCTCGCTCGGGATCTCTCGCAGGGAGAGCCAAGGGCGCCACAGCAGGGGCAGGGAGCCTACAGCCCCCGAGCGCGGGGGAGAGTTAAAAATGCTCCGTGGAGCGGGTGAGGAGCGCCTGTGGGGCGAGGCGTGTGGAGAGAGCTCAGCCAGGGAGCACGGATTCATTGCAGCCCCGGCTAGATCAGTGTCTCTCTATTGTCATCCTCGAAGAAAAAAAAAAAAAAAAAAAAAAAAAAGGAGAGGGAGAGAAAAAAGTAGGCGGATTGCAGTGACTGACTGCCCAATGGCAGCCCTGGGTCTCAGGAGAGTTACAGAGAGAGGGAGAGAGAGAGAGAGAGAGGCACTTTCTGCCATCCAAATCCTTTAAACCATCCTCATTCCAACACGAGAACCCACTGTAACAACTTCCAACCACTGAGACATGACAGGCAGGAGCCCAGAGGCAGCAGCAGCAGCAAGAGCAGCAGCACCAGCACACACTCTGCACAGGGAGCAGCATTAGCACCAGGGGAATACTACACACAACAATACAAACAAACAAACAAACAAACAGACAAAGCCCCCCCAAGCCCAAGGGACTGGATTCCAACTCAGATTCAAGCCACAGCTGACACCAAAAAGGGTGGGAAATTACGACCAGGGGGGGCCAGAAAGGAATAACCAAGGAAGCGAACTCCAAGAGTGTAAACGGGATTCAGCCATGATCCTTTTTTCATCTCGCAGTGTGTTACTCTCAGTGTATTACCCTCAGATTTTCCTCATCCTTACCAGTGGGAGTTACCTGTAAGTGATCCAGATTTTTTTTTTTTCCAAATACTGTTTGCAATGCCCCCGCTAGCAGCTACCTATGGGCAGAGGGCAGAGCGAGCAGAGGGAGCCGGCAGCAGCCC